GATCCTCCTCCACCAAGGGAGAGTCTTCCTTTCTCCAGCCTTCCTCTCTTGTCCCCAGGGTCTAGAATTCCTGAGGACTGGCCTTAGCAGTGAACAAGTCACCAGGGCACCCACCCCATTCAGCAGCGGGCCCACGTTTTCCCTAGTCTTCCTGTTGCTACTGATGTATTTGAAGAAGCCCTTCTTGTTGTCCTTGACATGCCTTGCCAGATTTAATTCCAGCTGGGCCTTAGCCTTCCTCATCGCATCCCTGCATGCTCTGACAACATCCCTATATTCCTAAAAGTAACAGTTTTTTTCTTAAAATCGTATCCTAAAAGCTTATTTTATTCTCTGCTATGAGTCAGTAAGCTACCAAAACACCTGCCTAAGCATTTGGTTAAAGCTTGCAGGAGAGTCTGCTCTCCTATGGCCTGGGGTTCCATCACAGAAGAAGAACTAAGTTAGAGTATACACGTTCATCTTTGTACTCAATTCTTTCCTTGGAGATCTGCTTGGAATTCTTTGAAATGCAACTCTCCTTTCTGTTTTCTGTTATGATTATTGATCTGTAAGTTATTCAGGAGACAGTTTCAATACCCATCCTCCCTAGAGTATTGATTATCCTCACTTCTTTGAAGATAATAGCAGCCTTTAGTGTGAGGCCAGCTGCAGTTATTTCCTGTGCTAATGCTCAACAGAAACAAGCCCTAGTAGTTAATTAAAATACGAGAAAAGAATTTGCTTGAATAAAAATCAATCTGATAAAGTGTTCTTTATTTGTAAGGTGATGTTGGAACCTGAGTATAAAGTTCTTCAGTATATTGAACTTTATATTTCATATAACTACGATCAATGTATTTAAACATAAATGGAATTAGTGCATTCAGTTCACTATTGGGCTGGCACCAGATACTATTGTGATTAATCACTTGAAAATAGTAATAGAAATAGTATGATTGACACCTACCCCAAGTTCCTAGGGATCTTGTCACATCAATTATACAGGTATTTCACCTTGCGTGCAAAGAAGTCTAATCCTTTTACACAGCTCAGTATTGGTCCAAGCTTGTAAATCCCAAGACAGTAATATCTGAGTGCTGGCAGAAATGAGGTGCTCTTCTGCTGTACGTGGTTATGAACTTGCTTCATTCTGTCTCCTGCTGATAGGAAAAGGCAGATTTAGCTTACTCGAAATCTTGAAAACTACTAAGGTATTTTTGGAGGATTTCGAAGTTTTTTTGTTTGATTATTTACAAAATGTCTAGCAAGTTTTGAGGTGAAGGCAGTCATTAGAAGCTGCCACAATTAGAAATTAATTTGTCTCTTTAACTAGTATATTTGAAAATCTAATTCTAGAAAAAGTTGAAAGAAGAAAGGATGGTCTTTATGTGAGCAACCATACTGAGTGATGTAAAGATAGATTCTGGATTTAAGTTACTTGGCTGTACTCTGTTTCTCCCCACCGCCTAACAGAGGATGCTTTACAGTTGTTTTTTGAACAACCTTACTAAAACATCTAACTAAACCCCAAACTAATGAATCACTCCTTTCGCCTTCATGCTTGATTTTAAAAAGATTAAACACTACTCTGCGATTCTGGAAATTGCATTTTTGCATAGGTAACAGAAATTGATGGTAATTTAGTCATGCATTCAGGTAGCGCCCTATGATACTGAAGGCAGACTGTGAGGTTTTCAAAATATTGCTGCTGCTATAGGTACTGTATCCCCAAATAACAGTTAGTGCTCCTCCGTTCTCTGATCTATCCTGGGATTTCTCTTCTGAATAGGTTCTGCTTTATGATGTTGCACACAAATCCATGGTCATATGAATGCATGTGAGCATTTTGTGAATCATCAGAATACACTTGAATGAATAGTGATGGCTTTTATGAGTCCTGGGAATTCAGTAGCCCTGGAGTTTAAAAATTCATGCCTTTTTG